GTAACCATTGCTCTAGTATACTCCCCTTCAGAGAAACTGGCAATGGAAGACCACTGGACTTAGAAGCCAAATTGATAGACTCAGTAAGCCATCTGGATAGAGTATTTGATGCTTCTCTTCCTCGGAATTGCCCATGGAAAGGTGATCCGAATTTCTGAAAGGTGAAGATGGGGAAAGGTTAACCTGGAAGGCCCTTCTAACACCCAACAGATGCCATTTCTTTTCTTGAGCTAAAGAGGCAGTGCTACAAAAAGAAGGTAGGACAATAGGCTGGGTAACTGCTTTATTAGCAAGCCCCTTGGGCAAGAAGGAAGATTGTGGGTATAGTATGACTTTCTCTGGATTAAAAATCTTTAAATTCCTCACAAGAATAGAGGGCCTGGGTTTCACCAAGTCTCTTGGTTGAAGTGATAGCCACTAGAAATCCAGTTTTCAGGAGCTTCATTAAACCATTAACAGATTTATTTAACCAATCATTTTTAACAGAAGTAGCGAATGTTGCGCCCATTCACAAGAAAGGTAGCAGGGAGGAGTCGGGCAACTATAGGCCAGTAAGCCTTGCTTCAGTAGTGGGGAAAGTGATGGAAACCATGTTAAAGGATAGGATTGATGAACATCTAAAAACACATGGATTTCAAGATCAGAGACAACATGGGTTTACTTCAGGGAGATCATGCCAAACTAATCTTATTGATTTTTTTGATTGGGTAACTAAAATTATAGATCAGGGTGGTGCAGTAGACATTGCTTACCTAGATTTCAGTAAGGCTTTTGACACTGTTGCACATAGAAGGCTTATCAATAAACTGCAATCTTTAAGTTTGGATTCCAATATTGTTGAATGGGTAAGGCAGTGGCTGAGTGACAGGCAACAGAGGGTTGTAGTTAATGGAATATATTCAAAGCTTGGACTTGTCACCAGCGAGGTACCTCAGGGATCTGTACTTGGACCCATTGTCTTTAATATTTTTATTAGTGATATTGCAGAAGGTCTTGATGGTAAGGTATGTATTTTTGCTGATGATACTAAGATATGTAACAGGGTTGATATACCAGAAGGGATAAGCCAAATGGCAAATGATTTAGGTAAACTAGAAAAATGGTCAGAGTTGTGGCAACTGACATTTAATGTGGATACATGCAAGATAATGCATCTTGGACGTGAAATTTGATAGAGTCCTAACCTCAACATCTGAGGAAAGGGATTTAGGGGTGATTATTTCTGATGACTTAAAGGTAGACAGACACTGTAACAGAGCACAAATACAAAGAAACTAGTCCTGCGCTCAAACTCCCATTACTCCTGGGCAGCAGCAATGACCATCGTACACATCACCCAAAATACATATAGTAAAAACCAAAGAAAAAAAGTTACCTGCGCTCTTTTCCACATTCCCCTATGTATTTTTAAACAAATGGAGGTTTTTAGTTACCTCCAATGGCCATGAGTGGGTATACCCACCTGCCACATCTAGGCAGACCTCTAGGTGGGTCCTAACTCTTACCTCTCATAGTCATTGGATATACCCTTTGTGTCACTATACACCACTCCCTCTAGCATGTAAACTCACTGAGCAGGCCCTCAATCCCTCTGTTACTGTCACTATACCCCACTCCCTCTAGCATGTAAACTCACTGAGCAGGCCCTCAATCCCTCTGTTACTGTGTCACTATACCCCACTCACTCTAGCATGTAAACTCACTGAGCAGGGCCTCAGTCCCTCTGTTACTGTGTCACTATACCCCACTCCCTCTAACATGTAAACTCACTGAGCAGGGCCCTCAATCACTCTGTTACTGTGTCACTATACCCCACTCCCTCTAACATGTAAACTCACTGAGCAGGGCCTCAATCCCTCTATTACTGTGTCACTATGCCCAACAAATTCCTTAAGTACTCTGCTGTTTCAATTTCCGCAGTCTTTTTCTTCCGGTGGAACGCATCCATGCGTTCCACCGCCTACTTCCTACTTCCGGGTTTGTAATGTCACGTCCGGAATGTCCGCGTTACATCCTGTTTCGTCTAATTATGTCAGACGCAGTGTCAGTGGAACGCATATGCATATGCGTTCCAATGTCATTCCGGATATATGTGCTAATCCCAAATTAGTCCTTATCCGATATATAGATATATATATAACGGAATACCTGATTTTTAAAAACCAATTTTCGAAATATACATTATAACAGTAAAAATATACCACAACAGTTGTTTTATAAAAAATTATTCCTAAAATATATTATTTATACATATAAAAATTAAAATTATTTTCAATAAAAATATATATATATATATATAAAAATATATGGAAGTGCTTTTTTAACATATAAAATCTGTCTTAATTCATTCTTGTTTCAGGAAAGAGAAAAATAAATAAAAATAAAGTGCATTCTTAAAAGATGGATGTCTATATGGCTATAAGTTGGAGAAATAGGGTCTGATAATTAATAACCAATATTTACACAAAAAAATGACACAACTCAAATATTTAAACCATAGGGGATTAAAGTATTAAAATTGTAAATACATTTAATTTCCTCTTCTCCTATCTTCCTATTAAAATCCCCCCCTTTCCAGTCTTTTTGTATAAGTTTAATTGCACAGAAACATGTATTTTTAGTGTCACTATTATGATGTGTTTTAAAGTGATTAGAAACACTATGTGTTTCTATGCCTCTTTTTATATTCCTTACATGTTCTGATATTCTGATATGTAAACACTTGGTGGTTCTTCCTACATAAATTAGATCACAGGGGCATTTTAAAATATAAATTACATTTTTAGAGAAACAGGTTAATTGATCTTTTATATAAAACACTTTATTATCCTGATAGTTAAAAGATAACGTATGTCTTTTTTTCTGGCATGTTGTTTTGCAAGCTAAACAAGAACCGCAGCCATAAAAGCCTTTACTTTTATTTAAAAAATTATCTTTCTGCTTTGTTTTAAAACTGCTATTTACTAAAATTTGTTTAATATTTTTACAGCCTCTATCGACTATTTTAAGTTCCGATGGTATTATTTGTTTTAAAATAGGATCTTCTTGCAGGATTGGCCAGTATTTTTTAATTATTTTTCTTAATTTTTCCGTTATTTCCACTATGGTTACATATAAAAGGTATGTTATTTCTCTCCTTGTTAATGTTTTTTGATTTTACTCCTTTATGGCTTTTTAATTTTTTTTATTTTTTCCAAAGTTGCCAAAAGTTCTTCTTCATCATAGCCTCTTTGCAGAAATTGTTGTTTAATTACATAAGCTTGTACTAAATAATCTGAATCTTGTGTGCAATTTCTTCTGAGCCTTACAAATTGGCTCTTTGGAGCGTTTTTTAGCCATGGGGTGTAGTGGCAACTTTTATTCTCGATATAGCTGTTAGCATCTACCTCTTTGAAATGATTCCTGGTATGAATTTTCGACTCTGTAACAAAAATTTCCAAATCTAAAAAATCAATATGATGTGTACTGTATGTGGAGGTTAAAACAATCCCCCATTCATTAATATTCCAAAAATTGAGAAATATCTCAAGGCTTTCTTCTCCATCTTTCCATATAAAAAATATATCATCAATGTACCGGTGATAGGTTACCAAGTTCGCCGCATATTCGCTGGGAAATATAATCTGTTCCTCCCAGTAAGCCATAAATAAATTTGCATAGCTAGGTGCGAACTTGGTACCCATCGCCGTACCTATAATCTGCATAAAAAATGAGTCCTTAAACCAGAAAAAATTGTTGGTTAAAATTAATAAAATGCCTTCCATTATAAAATCTATTTGTATGTCATTAAAACTGGATTTTACTAAAAAAAGTTTAGTCGCTTCTATCCCTATTTGATGAGGTATGATACTATATAAGGATCGAACATCGCATGTAACTAGCAGATAGTGATTTTGCCATTCTATCCCTTCTAAAATCTGGAGCATATGAATGGTATCTTTTAGATACAAAGGATTTTTCTCGACTATCGGTTGTAAAAGATGGTCTATATATTCTGAAGTTCTCGAAGAGACAGAGTCTATCCCTGATATGATTGGTCTCCCCGGAGGGTTATTTCTATTCTTATGCACTTTGGGTAGATAATAAAACACCAGGATTTTGGGGTGTGGGATTTGTAGATATTTTCTTTCTTCTTCTTTCAAAATTCCAAGATCGAATCCTTTTTCTATAAAACTATTACATTTTGTTTGGATTTCTATACTCGGATTGGTGGTTATTTTTTTTTATAAGTATTAGTATCCAATAGGATCCTTTCTGCTTCTGTAATGTAATTCTCTGTTTTCAAAATAACAGTACCGCCTCCCTTATCTGCTGGTTTAACAATTAAGTCTTCTTTCTTTTTTAACTCTATTAATGCTTTTTGTTCGGCCACTGATACATTTTTCTGAAATTTATTCATCTTTTTAATACTACGGGCTTCCCTCATAATCATTTTTTTTCACTGAGCAGGGCCCTCAATCCCTCTGTTACTGAGCGTCCGTTTGTCTGGTTACAATTACATGTCTGTTAGTCCACCTATTGTACAGCGCTACGGAATTTTGCTGGTGCTATAAAAAATTATAATAATATGGGAGCGCTTGCAAGCATGCATTAGCTTTTCAAAATGTCCCAAACATCCTGTGCACCCCTGATTTAATCAAACTATTAAAACACTGATATCTGGTTGCAGTAACCCATTAAAGTCTTGTTACCACGTTGTGTTATTTGGATTTCAATTCACAGCAGTTTGGTGTTTAGTGATTACACCCCTTAAATTAATTCAGATTCCTATTCATCCTTTCCCTCTGCTTACGGCTAAGAATTGCTATAGTTTCAGGTTGTCTTGTAAGGCAATACTGATTGGAAAAAAAATGTGCAGTTTCCACATACATGTCTCAAAAATGGCTTGATAAAGAAAAAGACATTTTTTAAAAAATATTTGGCTCGTCACAGAATTCTGATGAATAGAAAAAAATGGCCACAATAGATGAGTGCAAACTATAACATAGAGAAGTCATGAACTGGTTAAGTTCTGAATCTAAAAATGTCCATTCTGTTTCAGCATCTTTCTCAGAGTCCAGACTCGTCGTATTCCATGACTGCAGAGAGGACCTAACACCACAAACTGACTGGATCTGCAAGGACTGCTCTCTAGAAAAACCCAGACACAAATAAATAAGGCTGCTGGACAAACTAAAACAGCCCGTTCAGTGATCATAAGGTCACTATGGCATTCACAGATATGAACAGTGAAACTCTGGACAGCTTCTAAAAGGTCCTTGGTGTGAGAGCAACCTCCCCTATAAGATGCAAAAAGTGAATACGTGGCCTGGATATATTTAAACATGTAACTTTGAGAACTGTGGCTTGCCTGGAAACATTATGAAGAACTAGCTGCAAAGTATATAGAGCCGTGGTTCATACCTGTGTGACTAGGGCCATCTTAAAATATGCTACTAATTGGCTTCAAGGCTGTAATGTGAGTAATAGGTATCAGCATTAAAATGGTGATTCCCATCAGACAATGACATCTAATAAGGCAATGTTCGCCAAGCAAAAATCCACAGAACAGTCACAAATTTATGCAGACACCTGACTGACAAAACCACTTTAAATGAAGTGTAAAATAACAACATGATATAAATAAAATAACTCTTAAATCAAACTAATCAAGCATTTTCAGAAAGGCCATTCATCCTGCTGCTGAGGGATACCTGAGGACTCTCTGCTCACCTCTGAGAACATGCTGTACCATGAGGAGCTCAGAGTGAAATGCGGTCTGGTCACAGGGTTTGTCGCAAGATAAATGAGTAACATATTACAGATGGAATTGTTGTACACAAAACATGAATTACATGACAGATCATATGGCAAGTGAAAGCATTAAATAATTGAAAATAAGCAAGTATTCTTGGCTGACATATGGTAAATAAAGTAGTATGGGCTAGGGGGGGTCACAACAGAAGATATGGAATTAAAGGGACTATAGTCACCAGAACAACTACAGCTTAATGCATAATCATTGCCTTCAGGCATTTTCATGCAAACACTGCCTTTTCAGAGAACAGGCAGTATTTACATTGCCCCTAGGGACACTTCCAAGTGGCCACTCGTCAGATGGCCACTAGAGGTGCTTCCTGGGGCAGTGCTGCACAGTAGGCAGCAGTGCTGTTCAGCATCTCCATGCACTGCATCGAGACGCTGAATTTTCCTCATAAGGATGCATTGATTCAATGCAGCTCTATGAGGAGGTGCTGATTAGCCAAAATGTCCTAGCCACTAAACATCCTGCCTCTGATTTCAGCCAATCCAATGCTTTACTCTTGGGAAAGCATTGGATTGGCTAAAAATTGGAAATTCTGATGATGTCACCAAGGAGGCAGATCAGGGATGGGGCCAGCTTCGGCAGACCCACCCGGCGCTGGAAATAAGGTGAGTTTGAAAAAAGTTTCTAAAGGGAGGCACGCCTCTTAAATGGTGGGTTTAACACTATAGGGTCAGGAATACATGATTGTGTTCCTGAGCCTATAGTGTTCCTTTAAGTATGGCAGAGATGATAGGATACATTTGGATGAACCATGGTAAGGCATTAAATAGAACTGGAATTTTTGTATTAACCAAGACTGGGGTAAATGCAGAAAACACATAGATAAGGTGGTGTAGTAATGCAAATATTAAATCATGGCATTATAGGACAAATGTGAAATTAAATAGAACATAGGGAACTGACTATGACATAAATCATGGCTGACGTGGTGCTATCATCGCACTATTTAGGTTATCATTTCTGCCCAATGTTGGACAGGCTAAAATGGATGTGAAATTCACACATGCATTAGCAGAGCCATATATAGCAGAACTTGGACCATGATGAAATTATATATGTGGTCGGTGACAAAGGCCAAGGGCATATAATAAGATTTACCAGTAAGAGCAAGTCTGTTGTGGTGTGTTGAAACGGTATAATAGGAAGAGTTGGGTGGGGTTTCAAACATCAGCAGAATGTCAGGAGGTAGCTGGTAGGGGATAGATATAAGTTGTCAAAAACCCTCCCACAACAGAATGGGTAGGCCTGAAAAAGAGGACAAAAAAATATTAATAACAACTAATCTCAGAAAATAAATAATTAATAAATCACCTCTTATTAGGCCTACTTGTACCTTGACTGATTCAACAACTGTTACATATCGCCGAAAACAGAAATTTTTACTCAATTTAAATTCTTTTTTTCCTTAACCCCTTAAGGACTGGACTGTTTTTGCGATGTTGTACATTTGCGACCAGGCATATTTTTACACTTTTGTGGTGTTTGTGTTTGGCTGGAATTTTCCGCTCTCTCATTTACTGTTCCCATACAAATTATATATTGTTTTTTCAGGACAAAAGGGGCTTTCTTTACATACCATTATTTATATAATCTCATGTATTTTAATTTTAAAAAAATAAAAAAATATGATGAAAAATTGAAAAAATACATGTTTTTTGACTTTTACTTGAAAAATCTTTTACTCATCTACAAAAGCGAATGAAAAAAACTGCTAAATAGATTCAAAATTTTGTCCTGAGTTTAAAAATACCCAGTGTTTACGTGCTTTTTTGCTTTTTTTTGCATGTTATAGGGCTATAGGTACAAGTAGGATATTGCGGTTTCAAAACATACATTTTTAAAATTTATCAATAGTGACATTGTAACACTATTATCTGTCATAAATCTCTGAATAACACCCCACATGTACATATTTTTTTAAAGTAGACAACCCAGGGTATTCAATATGGGGTATGTCCAGTCTTTTTTAGTAGCCACTTAGTCGAAAACACTGGCCAAAGTAAGCATTCATATTTGTTTGTGTGTGAAAAAAGTAAAAAAACTAAATTGAACGCTAATTTTGGCCAGTGTTTGTGACCAAGTGGTTACTAAAAAAGACTGGACATACCCCATTTGCAATACCTTGGGTTGTCTTCTTTTGCAAATGGTATGCCATCATGGGGGTAATTCTCATTCCTGGGCTACCATACGCTCTCAAAGGCAACGTAACCAACCTGGCCATTTTCAATGTAAAAATATATGACCCATATATTTGACCTTGTAACTTTCAAAAATACTATAAAACCTGTACATGGGGGGTACTGTTTTACTCAGGAGACTTTGCTGAACACAAATATTAGTGTTTAAAAACTGGAAAACGTATCACAACAATCATCAGTAAAAGTGCTGTTTGTGTGTGAAAAATGCAAAAAAAGTCACTTTCACTGACAATATCATCGCTGTGATATGTTTTACTGTTTTGAATCACTAATATTTGTGTTCAGCGAAGTCTCCCGAGTAAAACAGTACCCCCATGTACAGGTTTTAGGGTGTCGTAGAACGTTACAGGGTAAAATACAGTGCTAGCAAATTCAATTCTCTGGAATTTCGGCCTGGGTTGGAAGGCAGGTCCCTCAAATTGCAATCAATAAAATTACTGAATTATGTAAAACTATTACATAAATACACACGTAGAATTTAAATATATATGCATATTTATATATTTGAAGTCTAGTGTATATTTATATAATTATTTATGTAATTTTGTATATGGACATATGTATATTTCTTATTATTTTTATTTATTTTTATATACATAGATATATATACAAATTCATTCTAAGTGTATTTTGATATAAATATATATATATTAATTTTAAAATACAGTTAGAATAAAATTTCATATAGATATAATTTTTTTTAATTTTTTTATTATTATTTTAAATTTTTTTTATTTAATTCAAAT